GTTACAGACAGTGAGAGAGAGAGAGATAGAGAGAAAGGTCTTCCTTCCATTGGTTCACTCCCCAAATAGCTGCAACGGCTGAAACTGTGCCGATCCAAAGGCAGGAGCCAGGTGCTTCTTCCTGGTCTCCCATGCGGGTGCAGGGGCCCAAGGACTTGGGCCATCCTCCACTGCCTTCCCAGGCCACAGCAGAGCGCTGGACTGGAAGAGGAGCAACTGGGATTAGAATTGGCGCCCATATGGGATGTTGGCGCCGTAGGTGGAGGATTAACCAAGTGAGCCTTGGCGCTGGCCCCTAAGTAATTTTTTTTTAAAGAAGCTATATTCCCCAGTGATATATACGCACATTTCAGTTGGAGAAGAGCTAGTTTTAGAGGAGAGGATTGAGTCAAAAATCACTTCAAGGTTTCACATTTAGTTTCTAAGACAGTGAGAGGGAAGTTAGAGAAATAGGACTTTGTTTTGGTGACAAGATGATTAATTTGTTTTTATACAAGCTGACCTTAAATGATCTTAGAATAACTGGAACATCGACCATTGACAAAGATCCTTTGCTTGACCAAAGCTTAGTCAGGCTTCTGAACCTTCTCCTAGGCCTATCTGTGTAGTTTCTTGTAAAATCTAGTTTTAGCGAGATCCCTGCTAAGTCAGGTTAACAGAACCACTGCCCCCCACCCCCATACACACACTCGCTCCCTGAAAACCATTGCAATCTGAGCAGGTTCCTCACCCTCCACTGCCCCCAGGTGTTGTCTGGCCACCTTGGCCTGTCTTCAGCAAGAATCTTCTCAGGTCAGTTAAGCCAGAATCTCCCTTACCCTGATATTTCCTCTTAGTCATTTTCCATCCACTGACACCCACCCTTCCCCTTGGCTACAAACCATACTTGGAATTGAGCCCAGTTCTGTACTGAGGCCTCTTTTCAGTATTGTGGTAGTCCTAACGATGTCCATTTTGACTGCTTTAACTACTTCCTAGCTTTAGTATTTCTTTGACATCTTCTGGGAGTGGGCAGTCACATGACTATCGAGGCTGTGAGAGACTTGGTGATCATGTGGTTAAGCCTCTTGTGTGTCCAGCAGTTGAGGAAACTGGGACCTGCCTGGCTTTAGCCCTGACCTTTCTCCCAAATTCTCACCTCTCAGGAGGGTTCTGGGAACAGTGTGGCTCCTTCCCATTAGCCAGGATACTGGACTCCCTAGGCCTTGGGTTCTGTGTTTAAACTCCCTGTATATCAGTCTGGTCATCAGAGATTTTTCTACAAGCCAGATTCTCCAGGATTAATACAACTCAGTCTTTAAGATACTAGATCTTCTTGCTGCATTCTTTCTAGCAGGTGATGCCTTTAAATAAGCTAGCTCAGAAATTCTGGGGAAACTACTCATCATGGAACTGTCAGAATGGAAGTAGGAGAGTCTAAGGACCAATATTTGTGAAGTACTTGGAAAGCTTTGAATGAAAGACATTGAACAAATACGAAGTACTGTGTCACGTGCAAAAATCTGTCTCCTACAAATCTCAAAAGAACTATGGAGTCATCTGCAAAAGGAAATGTCAATATGATTGAAATGTACAAATTATCTTCTCACAGGAGGAAGACATACTTTTGAGGTGAATTAGGAAGTGATTGGCAAGGGAGGTTGTGGAATGAAGCAGAGACCTTTTGAAGTTGACCCTGTTCAGGCAGAATCATGGTTCAGTGGGAAACTTACTAGGAAAAAAGATCATATTGTTCCAAATTGAGACATTATTTAAAGAATGAGCGCACTTACTACTTTCCTTCTACTGAGGAGTCTTTTCTTGTTTTAGTATAAGTATCAGCTTGACATTTACTCCTTATAACCTAATCAGAGTTCAGCTATGTAAGAAATTCTGTGCCTGCAGAGTGGAGGGCAAAGAATTCATTCACTCATTAAACAATATTTATCCATTGATATTTATTAAATACCTACTATGTGGCTCTCTCTTTCAGATTCAGGAAATACAACAGTAAACAAAATAGAAAAATAATAGCTGCCCTTGTACAATATACATTTAGTGGTGGTAGGAACTAACTGAATGATGAATAATAAATTGTATAGTATCTTAGATGGTACCAAGGACTATGAGGAAAAAAATAAAGCTGGGTATAAAAGATTGGAAATGCCATATGAGGGCAGAGGGTGAAATTTTAAATAGGGTACTGAGGGTAGGCCTTGGTAAGAAAGTGATATTTGATTAAAAATTTAAGGAGTTTAGGGGAAAAGTCAAGTTTAGAAAGAGATATCAGACAGAAAACAGAACAAAGGCCTGAGGGAGAAACACACTTTAACATTTTTGAAAGCAGCCAAGAAGCTAAGGCAAGCATAGTATATGAGGTCTGGAAGGTAACAGGATGGAAACTCAGCACGGTATCAGGGACTAGGATGGGAGAGTGAGACGGGTGGCAGGGGATTAAGAACAAAAGGTTTGGATGGAGAGTAAGGCACAAATGAAAGGCAAGGCATTAACTAGCATTTGAGTAGGGCTTTAAAATTGGCAAAGCTCTGTACTCTACAGCCCTTTTTTCAGATTGTGTTCATTGAGTTCAATGGTTTCACAAGTGCACTTTCTTCACTTGTAAAATCGCCCATTTTAAAGGTAAAGACATTGGGGAACTATTTGGGTCACATACCCAGAAACATGTCTACCTCCCCAAATCCTGTTATCTCTGCTCTACTTCCTCATGTTGCTGCTTGTCCTGAAATCAAGTAGGTACCAAGTAGCAAAGGACTGGAGATTCATCATATTATTTCTCTGGCTGATAAAATAGATGTTGGGCTGGAGCAAGCCTACATTCAATAATATAAAATGTTAATCAAAATTACCAATATTTGTTGAAAGCATTAGGATAGACTCTGTAGGGATAGGCAAAGAGCTGTAAGAAAACGATGCGCGGTTGGACTGTGATCATGGCTTTGTTTGGCTTTGGCTCAGTTGTGAAGTCAGTCAGTAAATGAGATAGGAAATATCAGAACTCCTTTTTTTTTTTTTTTTTTTTTTTTTTTTAACAGGCAGAGTTAGACAGTGAGAGAGAGAGACAGAGAGAAAAGTTTTCCCTCCGTTGGTTCACCCCCCAAATGGCCACTACAGCCAGCATGCTGTGTTGAAGCCAGGAGCCAGGTGCCCCATCCAAGCACTTGGGCCATCCTCCACTGCCTTCCTGGGCCACAGCAGAGAGCTGGACTGGAAGAGGAGCAACTGGGACAGAACCGGCGCCCCAACCAGGACTAGAACCCGAAGTACCGGCACTGCAGGCAGAAGATTAGCCTAGTGAGCCATCGCACGGGCCCAGTTACTTTTTTTTTTTTAAATCTATTTTATTTATTTGAAAGGCAGTGTTACAGAGAGAGGGGAGACAGAGAAAGAGATCAAGAGAGAGATCTTCCATCTGTTGGTTCATTCCCCCAAACAACCACAATAGCTGGGGCTAGGCCAGACTGAAGCCAGAAGCCAGGAACTCCATCCATATCTCCCACATGGGTGGCAGGGGCCCAAGCACTTGGGCCATCTTCCACTGCTTTCCTAGGCACATTAGCAGGGCGCTGGATCAGAAGTTGAACAGCCAAGACTCGAACTGGTGCTCATATGGGTGACCCAGGTGATGGCTTAACCCACTGTGCCACAATGCCAGCCCTAAATACAGTTCCTTTAAAAGCAAGACTTTACTTTGTCCTCCATTGTAACTCAAGAACATATTAGGCTTACAGTAATTAATTATTTATTAAGTAGATTAAAAAGTATACTTCCTAGAGTCTTGCTTTTAGGTAGTATCTGAATCAAAGTTTTAATTACTTAAAGATTTAACATGTTATGGAAGTTTCCTTAAGGTCAAAAAGCTTCAAAATAGAGTTTTCTAGTCTCTAGCAGTGAATGTTAGACATAACAGGAAAATTTGAGAAAAGGATTTGTTGAGCAGGTTGGCTTCTGTTACTCCTCTGAAATCATACCACCATGGAAGCCACCTACTCCTAAGGCTCCATGTGCTCATTTCTTTGATCTAGGAGCTGAGGTGCTGGGATAGTTGTTCATTTGTGCAGTCATTCAATGAACACATTGAGAACCTGCTTGGTGCCAGATACTTTATTTGGCACATGCACATTTCCCTGATGAATTGTGAAGTCAAGGAATCCCATCACCCCACTTCTTGAGCTGTTACTAGTCCAACCAGGTGTATGCAAAGAAAAAGATAGGAACACAAAGATTGTAAAATTTGGGGTCATGCAGATCCACCTTTGTCTTTCTAATGAAAGCATTAGTTTGAAAGTTATGCTTCTTACAGGAGACTGCACTTGCTCATGTAGGACCTCTGTCCTTAATGAGCTGTACTATGAGAACTAATGGTACAACTCATCTTCAAACAGTACTTTATACTTTGTGTGTCTGTGTGGGTGCACACTGTTGAAATCTTTACTCAGTATAGAGTTGATCTTCTGTATATAAAGATAATTAAAAATGAATCTTAATGAAGAATGGGATGTGAGAGGGAGTAGGAGGTGGGAGGGCAGGTATGGGGGAAGAACCACTATAATCCAAAAGTTGTACTTATAAAATTTACATTTATTAAATAAAAGCTTTCTATTAAAAAAAAAGTTATGTTTCTTTGTTCTCCGTTTTTAAGTTATGTTTCATGATTTATGCTTTTTTTCTAAATTCAAAAGTCCAATTTCAAAGATCAGTTCTAATTTCTCAGAATATCATGGCGAAAGAATTAAAATAGACTTTAAAGAATTTCTTGAACAGCACTTCATTATACTTCTAGCAACTAGCATATACACATTTACATGATAAAATAATATTAAGAAAAATCTGCATTTAAAATGCAATGAATAGAAATCAATGTTCTAAGGTGAATCCTGATTTTCTATAGAGTTTTGACTTCTCTATATTGTTGGATAATATGAAAAGGACATGCTGTTCTGTTTCCTCTTCCCCACCCCGTCCTTTATTATATCAATATATTTAATAAAATATTTTCCTACCAATGCTCCATTCCAGATGGGACAAGCGATCCAAACACTCCATCCTATGAACCAAAGCTTGTAAGAAAAGACAGGGAAGAAAGCGAGAACTCCAGAGAGCATGCTGAGACTCCCCAGAGTTATGAGGATCCGGCCAGCAACCTGGTATGAGGCCTTCATTTTCCTCTCTGACTTGGGCCCTTGGTCTCAAGGTGTTTTGTTACCAAAACATGAAGGTATGACAGATCTCAATAAACACAAGTTTCTTAGAGACAGTAGCCATGACACATATGAACTGTTGATCTACTTGGAAACAAGATTCTATTTGTTTCACCAAAGGTGAAATGTAATAAAGATAATATAGGACATAAATTTGATGCAATAAATTCTAATACCAGTTCATTTCAGAGAGGGGGAGGGAAAGGGAGGGGGAAAGGAAGAGAGAGACTGAGAGAGGGAAATTGTTCCTTGTTTTGGAGTTGCTGCCTTGATTCCCTTCATTTTGCCCTGTCCCGGGGAGTGACCCCTTCCTGGCTTAATCAGATTCAAAGGCTTGCTGACTGAGCTAATTGTTTCTCCACTCAACCTGCCCGGTGGTTGCCGCATAAAGCCAACATCCTTTGTGCACAATGGACCCACATTCCCAGCACGATTTCCCACTGAACAAAGTAAAAATAAGCAGTCTGACCACTTTTCACTTCATTTAATTTAAGTGACTTAAAGCAAAAACAAGACCTTCATCTCTTTCCAAAGTTTAATTCCCAGTACAATTATTTTTGAATTTCTGATAAAGATTTTTTATATGGCTTTACCCCTGAATTGACATTTTGGATTTTGCATTGTTTTTGTTAAGCCAGCTTCACCTTAGTTATTTTATTATTATTGTAATTTTCAAGTACAAGAAGTAGTAAAATGAAATAAACATTGAAGAGTAATTTATCAGTTGAATAAAATACTGATCTCTCTGTTCATTCTTGAGTGGTAATTTTAAGTTTAGATGTTGGGTTTGTGTACATTTAAGTAGTATACACAAAAGCACATTGGAAAAGTTCATCTCCGAATTTTTCACGCATTTGAGAACGTGGCATGTCTTTGCTTTTGATTGTTATATTTGAATATTTCTTCCAAGATAACATCTTGAGAACATGGACCATTTTCTGAAGCTATCTGAATTATTTTCCTATTCAATCTTAACATCTTTTTTCTTTTCAGTGAAATAAAATGTTGAGAAATAATTTCATAGATGGAATAATAATGGTTTAGAATATGGGTTTTGAGTTAGATATTGCTGGGGTCAGTCTGGTACCACTCTAGACCAAGTGTGTGTCCCAGTGCAAGGCCAGCTTACTTTTCTAGATCTGTTTCTTCATATGGGAAATGGTAATAAAGTTAGTGTTTATCTCACCAGGCGGTCTGTTGGGAGAGTTGACTGCTCCATGTAAATGCTTAGCACTGAGCTTAACACAGCATAGATGTTTGGGAAATTAGCTGTTACTACATTGGGAAGTCTGCTCTTTGGAGTTCTTTCAGCCTGGAACAAAGGCACAATCATTATTGTTTCTTTTATCCATCATCTTACAAACATTAGCTTAGGCTCTTCCTGATCAACTTGGTAGAAACTTCAAAGACCCTCCCAATGTGCAGTAGAGAAAGAAGCTTTTCTCTGATTCTCTGCCTTTTTCTTTCTTTCTATCTTTAAGAACCCCTGCACAGTTGGATTCAGATTTGGAAGCAGTTACACTCCTGAATATGCAAATTCCAGGAAACTAGCTCAAGGCTGCTATCAACATGATGTACTATATTCTCTGATTTTTTCCTCTAAAACCACTAGATATATTCCAGAAGGGCAGAGGTCTTGAAAGTCTTATACATCCCCTGCAAACACAAAACATCTCCACCACCTAGAACTGTACACAGGGTAGACACTTGTAGTAAGAAATATTTGTTCAGTTAAAGAGAGAACACATTGGCCCTTCCAGCCATGTTCCGGGGCCCCTGTGGAGTGCTCAGTGCAGCTCTCTGTGTGTCCACCATTGCATGTGTGTGCTAGCGCCAGCTTGTTCCCTTGATTCAGCGGGAAGGGGTCTGGAGTGAAGAAAGACTTGTTTGTATTGGTATTTGGTTTGAGCTGTTTTGACTTTTTCCTTTACTTTTTATCTCAAGGTTATAGCCACATGGTATGTCAATATACTGCGGGTCAGATCACTCTCTCCTGTTTGCATGTTTGGAAAATAAAGACTGTTGAAATACTCATGTTAAACAGTACAAAGATGGCAAACAAAGAGAATATTTTTTCATTTTAATCTTAGGGGCTTTTTACATGCTAATAATACTCCTAGGCTAACCATGACCCTGTCAATGTGACTCATAAATCTGAACGTATTAGTGATTAGAAGAGTTGCTGCCACTTAATACCACAAAGAGAAGGGACAGGGAATTCTGCGTGCTTTCCGGCAGGAATCTATTCACACTGGTTTCATCAAAGCAGGGAACTGTTCAGTGAGAGCAGTGCCTGGGGAAGAACAGAAAGTGTAACTTTGCACCTGGCCTGGGCTGGACTTAAGGTAGGATCTGCTCCAACCCTGTTTCCTGGAGTCCTAGCTGCCAGCAAGGGTAACAGGCCCCAACATGCCCCTTTGGCACCAACTTACCACAAGGTGGGTCTGTGAGTACTCTCTGGAGAAGATGCCATCATGGTCTTTGTGGGAGTGCTTTGCAGACCCGAGCAGGAGATCCCAAGGTCAGGAGAGAATGGAGAAGGCCCTGCCAAACTCCTCATCCTAACCTTGCCATTACCAAATGAGCCAGTGCCGTAGCATAGCAGGTAAAGCCACTTTCCTGTGATGCCAGCATCCCATATGGGCACTGGTTCGAGTCCTGGCTGCTCCACTTCTGATTCAGCTCTGATATGGCCTGGGAAAGCAGTGGAAGATGGCCCAACTCCTTGGGCTCTTGCAGTACGTGCAAGACCTAGAAGATGGCCGGCACCGCGGCTCACTAGGCTAATCCTCCGCCTAGCGGCGCCGGCACACCGGGTTCTAGTCCCGGTCGGGGCGCCGGATTCTGTCCCGGTTGCCCCTCTTCCAGGCCAGCTCTCTGCTGTGGCCAGGGAGTGCAGTGGAGGATGGCCCAGGTGCTTGGGCCCTGCACCCCATGGGAGACCAGGAAAAAGCACCTGGCTCCTGGCTCCTGCCATCGGATCAGCGCGGTGCGCCGGCCGCAGCGCGCCGGCCGCGGCGGCCATTGGAGGGTGAACCAACGGCAAAGGAAGACCTTTCTCTCTGTCTCTCTCTCTCTCTCTCACTGTCCACTCTGCCTGTCAAAAAAAAAAAAAAAAAAGAAAGACCTAGAAGAAGCCCCAGGTTCCTGGCTTTGGATTGGCTCAGCTCCTGCTGTTGCAGCCATTTGGGGGAGTGAATCAGCCAATTTCTCTGACTCTCTCTGTACCTCTGCCCTTCAAATAAATAAATATTTTTTAAAAACAAACAAACAAACAAACAAAAAACCCAGACTGACATTTTGATTCCAATACCCCATCACACAAAACCCCATACACCTGTCTGTTAAACCTGGACCTCTAAAAGGGTGGGAGAATGTCAGTGATGCTGAGGAGGGGAACTTGATCTGGACATCCCCTCACAAGTGGACCCTAAAGATGACAGCTGTGTTGGGGTTCTAGCCATATTTTTAAGATTGATTTATTTGAAAGGCAGAGTTATGGAGAGCAGTAGAGAGAGTCTTGGATTTGCTAGTTCACTCCCCAAATGGCTGCAATGGCTAGATCTGGGCTGATCTGAAGCCAGGAGTTTCTTCCAGGTCTCCCATATGGATGCACCGGCCCAAGGACTTGGGCCATCTTCCACTGTGTTCCCAGCTATAGCAAAGAGCTGAATCGGAAGTGGAGCAGCTGAAACTCACACTGGTGCCGATATGGGATGCCGGCAGCGTAGGCGGCGGCTTTACCCAGCATACCACAGTGCTAACCCCGTAGTTACAGGGTTTTAAAGTAGGGTTCAAAGCTTAAGAAGGAGCCCATATTTGCCAAGATAAAATAAAATGGAGCTTTAAATGAGAGATGAGATTTAAATGTTTTCTTTCTGATCAACTTCAGTTTCATGTGTTTCCATGTTGGAGAGGTAGCTCATGTGGTGAGAAAAAGTATGAGCTTTGGTGGCAGAAGAACTGAGTTTGACACTGAAAATTCCATCTGATATGCACAAAACAGATGGAAAATTAGAAAAGTTAACACTGTGCTAACACCAGTGAGTAATTAATTCAGGTAGGGACCATCAAAGGATGTGAAACCATGGGACGAAAGGAGGGAGCTCTAAAATGGCAAAGAGACCTCTGCAATGTGGAAGTGTGTCCATTACCACTTAACCAAGGGGTCACACTTCGCATCTCCAAAAATGGGACAAGCTAGCATCTTTGTCTCTTGATGGGATTCAATGCAAGCACACACTACAAATGTTTGTAGGTGATGTTTCTGACAAAATGTTTAGTCTGAAGTTAATCATAAAGAAACAGATAGATGAATTCAGACTCTTGGGATATTACTGCAATGTACTGGCCTAGACGCTTCAAAATTATCCAAGTCATGAAAGATGTTGAAAAGGTTACTGGCTGGGACCAGCGTTGTGGCTTAGCAGGTAAAGCTGCAGCCTGCGACAGCAGCATCCCATATGGGCTCCAGTTCGAGTCCCAACTGCTCCACTTCCAATCTAGCTCCCTGCTAATGTGCCTTGGAAAGCAGTGGAAGATGGTCTGAGTGCTTGGGCCCCTGTACCCACGTAAGAGACTTGGAATGTCTTCTTGGACCCTGGCTTTGGCCTGGTCCTGCCATTGCCAGTGCCATTGTGGACATTTGGGGAGTGGACCAGCAAATCTAAGATCTCTCTCTTTGTCCTCTCCCTCTCTCTCTCTCTCTCTCTGTAACCCTGGCTTTCATATAAATAAATAAATCCTTAAAAAGAAAATGAATGTTTACTGGGACAATTAGGGGAAGTTGAAGTACAATGAAGTTGATGTTCAATAGTACTAGAATCAATGTTAAGTATCTTGGGAGTATGAACTGTATTATATTTATATAAGAGGATGTCCTTCTGGTGAAAGAAGGTGATATTAGCGTTCTTTGGCTTTCTTCCAGCTTTTTCATAGGTTTGAAATTTTCAAGTTAAAAG